GAGGAGGCGACGGTAGAAGGGGAGGACGAGACGCGTGGGAACGGAGCAACATAGGGTGAGAGCGCGTGACAGGGGAGACAAGACGAGCGCGGGAGGGACGGCGGGACCAGACGTGAGACGGAGGCGTCGGGTCAGGAGACAGAGGAGGGGACACAAGGGGGGAGCGAGGGGGAAGACGAGCCGGGGACGAGTCCGGCGGAGGGAACACAGGGCCGTAGACAGGAAGAGGAGGAGACGGCAGGAGAGGAACGGACGCAGGGTTAGGGGACGGAAGGCCGAGCAGGCGAAGGGCGGACATCGGCGGGGACTGCGGCTGCGGCGGCGAAACAGCGACACGGGGACCGCAAGCTGCTCCACGGCTACCTCCGGGACACTCCACTCCTGCACCCCCAGAAGGAGCACCCCCAGAGGCCGAAACCCCTCAAGCAGCGGGACCACCCCTAGGGTCACCAGGGCAGGCCACAACAGGAACCCCAGAACTAGCACCCACCCCAACGCGAGCACCCCCAGAGTCGACAAACTGCTGCTGCGGCGGTGGCGGCGGCGGGAACGACGGCTGCGACAGCAGGGGCGACGGCGGCTGCCGAGGCGGTGGGGGGGGAGACACCAGGGGAGGGGCAGACGGCGAGGACTGCGCCGCAAGACCACCAGAGTCAGAGGACTCCTCGACCGGGACAACGGACGGGAGAGGGGTGACGTGGGACACACCACAGGGGGTAGGACGGGGAGGTGGAGGGGGGGGGGCAGGGACCACCAGGGAAGGAGTGACCAGGAATAGGGGGTGAGTAACCGGGGGACCGCGGTGGGGGAAGCAACGGTAGAAGGAGACGGACTCGTCAAAGGTGACGTCGCGAGAGTGAAAGAAGCGGTGAGACGGCGGGTGGTAGAAGTGCCAGTCGGACGCGTCAAGAGGGAAACCTAGGAAGACGCAAGGAAGGGTGCGGGCAGTGAGCTTGTCCATGCCAGATGCACGAACGTGAGCAAGGCAGCCCCAGACGTGGAACGCAGACGCGTCACCAGGAGACCCGGTCCAAAGACGGGTCGGCGAAACCTGCGGCTGCTGGGGGTGCGGCCACAGGTTAAGCTGGTGAGCAGCGTAGCGCACGGCGAACGGCCACAGAAAATGGGGTGCACCGGCATAGATCATGGAGGTGCGAGCCACCTCCATGACCAAACCGATGCGTCGCTCAGCGACCCCATTCTGCTGTGGGGAGTCCGGCAGGGTGAACGTCTGAGTGATGCCCTCCGCACGACAGAAGCAACCAAGGACACCTGAGGCAAACTCGCCACCACGGTCAGACTGAAGACGCAGGACAGGGAGACCTCGGTGGACACGGGCAGAGGCAAGCCAGGGGATGAGAGCGTCAGGCACGTCGGCCTTGCGCTCCAGGGGAAAAACTGTGGTGTAGCGAGTGAAGTCGTCGACAAGCAGGAGGAAGTAGCGCTCTCGACGCGGCCCATGGACGGGGGCGGGGCCCCAGACGTCCATGTGCAGGGTCTGCAGCGGCGCGGCGGTAGGGGGAAACGAGGAGGAGTGAGGGGCACGGCGAAGCCGACCCTCGACACAAGGTGTGCAAGGTGGGGCTGGGGAGGAGGGAAAAGCGGGGAAGGAACCAGGGAGACCAAGGACAAGACCGTGCTAGGACATGTGACGCAAGCGCGGGAGCGCAGGGTGACCAAGGCGGTGGTGCCAAAAGAGAGTCGGGTGAGTGAGGGACCGACAGGAGCAAGCAGCAGCAACCTGGGTAGACGCAGCCACCTGAGGGGGCGCCCCAGCTAGGGGGGTCACGGTGTCCAGAGTGAACAGGCCGGACACCGGGTCCTGGGGGAACGTGGACAGGGAGCCACCAGTGGCGGCCTCGGTACAGACAGCATACCGCTCGTGACCAGGGAACGTAGTGGTGACGCCAAGGTCCTGGAGGCATCCGACACCAACTAGATTCCTGGAGAACGAGGGGATATGCAGACCTGTGAGAGAGCCCGAAGGAACCGCCGGACAGGGAAGGGTGGTGGAACTGCGAGCGACTACGGGACCGCCAGAGGAGTCAGCAAGAGAAACTACAGCAGGAACAGGAAGCGGCGTCAGCGTAGTAGAGTCGCGGAAGAAACACCGGGAAGCGCCAGAGTCCAAGGTGAAGGAAAGCGAAGCAGTGGCGTCTGGCGACGGGGCGACGGCGGAAGCACGAAGGCTAAACAAGGCAGAAGCTCCTACGCCTCACGCAGCAGGGGAGGCTAGGCTAGGCCCACCTACACTAGGCGACAAGGAGTAATAAGAGGGGAGCACACTAGAGTCATCAGCATACATCACATGCAGGGCAGAAACAATGGCATCCATGTCCATGTCAAAAATCTGAACTCTACGACTAAGCAAACTGTGCCAGTCCGGGAGATCGGGCGACGGTCCGAAACGCTGACGAAACAGGTCGTCCAGACGACGAAAACAGCGGGCAGTGGCGTGACCGATCTTACCGCAAACGAAGCCGCGGCGAGGACCGGTCTGGATCTAGTACTGACAGCGCACGCCTCCCGAACCGCCACCCGGCACACCACCACGCGCATGACCACCACCAACGCCAGGCCACCCGGGCGGGAGGGCACTCGCCTGCCTCGTCTGCGGCGGCTGGTGCGGCTGTTGCGGCTGCTGCTGCTGCTGCGGCTGCTGGGACGGCTGCTCAGCTGGACCTGACAGGGTCCCTTGGTCCACTCCATCACTAGAGGACCCGACTCCACCACCACCTCCACTGGCACCCCCACCACCTCCGCCGCGCCCAGCCTTGGGGCGGCGGCCCTTCCCCGGACGGAACTGCGCTGCAGCGGCGGTCTCAGCCACAGCTGCAGAACCATCGAAGATGGTGCACTGAGCGGGGGCACAACCCTGAAAGATAGGGACCAGCACAGTACCGCTCGCCTGGGCGATAGAGCGGTGACGGGTCTCAATAACTGTCAGGGTGTCTACAAAGTCTGTGAGGGTGAGGTCACCGGGGTGAATTCTAAGGAAGCGGTCACGAGCAGCGGCAAGGCGGTCAGGGAGGCGGGTGGCAAGCAGGTAGAGGGTAGAGGTAAGGGGCGGCTGGTGGGCTCTAAGCTGTGCGTCAGTGCAGGCAGCGCGCCAGGTCTCATCTATCATGCGCAGGTGGGCAGCCAGGTCAGCGACAGTGGGGAAAGACGCAAGGTCAGGAAAGAGCATCGGTAGGATCAGGCGACACACCGAGGCAGCAGGCGGGGCGAAATAGCGCCGGATGACAGCGTCTAGGAAAGCCTGGGCGATGGTGATAGACCTAAAGCGAGGACGCTCGGACGGGGGGAGGGCATTTCTAATGGCAAGCTGGGCGACAGCGTCACGGGAAAGCAGACAGAGCGAGCGAGGGCAGCGGCCGCAGTAGACTCGCGCTCAGCAGGTGTGGGGTCAGCGGGCAGCACGGCAGGGGGGTCTGGGCAGGGAAGCGTACCGTCAAGGTGTGCCGAAAGCGAGTGGCCATCCTGCCGCTGACCAGTGAGGTGGCGGCGGAGGTCGGCTAGCCAGGCCTCAAACTCCAGAGGCTGGCCTTCAGCGTCGAAGCGAAGCTCTGCCGTCATCAGGAACAGTGCAGGGCAGGGCCAGGTGAGGCAGTGCAGCGCGGTCCAGTGCAATGCAGGGCGGTACAGTGCGGTGCAGCGCGGTATAGTGCAGTAGAGTGCGGTGCAGCGCGGTGCTGTGCGGTGCAGGGGGGTGCAGTGCAGTGCAAGGTGATGGAGAACCGTACCAGGGAGGGTGCCGTGCAGTAGCAGGTACGGAGAGCGGGCCGCACGCAGATCGGCGGCAGCCCGGCGGGAAGGTGAGCACGGGGCCGGAGCTCGATGGGCAGGGCGCGGGGGCCGGTAGGACGGGCGCGGGGCCGGCTAGGACGGGCCTGGGACGGGCGCGGGGCCGGCTAGGACGGGCGCGGGGGCCTATAGGATGGGCGCGGGGGGCCAGCTAGGACGGGCGCGGGGGCCACTAGGACGGGCGCGGGGGCCTGTAGGATGGGCGCGGGGACCAGCTAGGACGAGCGCGAGGGCTGGCTAGGACGGGCGCAGGGGCCGGTAGGATGGGCGCGGGGGCCGCTAGGACGGGCGCGGGGCCGGTAAGGACGGGCGCGAGGGCCGGTAGGACGGGCGCGGGGGGCACTAGGACGGGCGCGAGAGCCGTTAGGACGGGCGCGGGGCCAGCTAGGACGGGCGCGGGGCCGGCTAGGACGGGCGCGGGGGCCGTTAGGACGGGCGCGGGGCCAGCTAGGACGGGTGCGGGGGCCGTGAGGACGGGCGCGGGGGCCAGCTAGGACGGGCGCGGCGGGTGCAGCTAGGACAGGCGCGAGTCTAGCTAGGACGGGCGCGGGGCCGGCTAGGACGGGCGCGGGGGCCGTTAGGACGGGCGCGGGGCCAGCTAGGAAGGGCGCGGGGGCCGTGAGGACGGGCGCGGGGGTCAGCTAGGACGGGCGCGGGGCCGGCTAGGACGGGCGCGGGGCCAGCTAGGACGGGCGCGGGGGCCGTGAGGACGGGCGCGGGGGCCAGCTAGGACGGGCGTGGCGGGCGCAGCTAGGACGGGCGCGGGTCCAGCTAGGACGGGCGCGCGGGCGCGGCTAGGACGGGTGCGAGGTCGACTAGGACGGGCGCGGGGGCGGCTAGGGCCTAGGGCGGAAGCATGGGCGGGCGGCGGGACCTACCTACTATTGATACCATCTTAGAACTGAGTAATGAATGACTAGAGAACATGGGTACAAGCATACATATCTAAGGGTTGTACTCTCTAGGAGGTGACCCTATACAGTCTATACAAACTCTAGATATTCTAATGTTTGACAGTTGTACCCTCTACAGTAATGTTCAGTAACCAATACCAAGCCTACAATTATATACTAGCATATATAATTTAACAATGAGCACTATATTCTTCCGGGCCATTGTTAAGACCCAGTAATTTTTTTAGTGAATTTTTATGTACACCATAGGGTGTTATGTACGGGGGATTACGGTAGAAGAAATTAGGCGAAGCATGTTTGTTTGGAGCAAACCAAGCCGCACAAGGGGCTAAGCCAAAACACATGGAAACAAACAAGTATTCACAAGTCCTAAGTTTGGTGCACACGAGCACCACAAAAAAACAGACACAAATTTACAATGAAATAAATAACACCATTTCACCCTTCAACGGGCACGAAAGGTGTGGATGGATGGGTGGGACACTTGCACACTGACTCACGTCAGCATTTCACAGTTTCTGTTGATGGGTTCTCAACAAGAGCCTCGCTATCAGCCAGCACCAACTTGGCATCTTCTATCCGAACTGGCACCGGCACCATTGTGGCAGCTCGGTCAACCGTCTCCTCCATGCCCTCGTTGCTTGGAGATACTATGTCGGTCGGCATGACTCGGCAGTATATGGGGATGATATGCAGAGGGGCTTCAACGTCCTCCAGCCATGTGGGACCTTCAAATGTGTTGGACGGGTTCAAGAGCTCGCACCACGTGCCTCTGATGAGGGGGTGAAGGGAGAAGGGAGAACGGGGGAAGGCGGTGTGAGCAAAGGTGCTAAGAGTACCTACGCATGACTGTCAAGGGAGGGTGGGGGACCAGCAGAACAGGGGGGATGGAGAGCATGGAAACGCTTTCCCACACCAATATCAATGGAATGTAGTGCAAACGTGAAGGGGTACGGTGGGGTGGTGGGGGAGAAAAGGGGGGGAGGGGGGGGGGGGGGGGGGTTCATGCTCACTTGGGGAGGTAGACGTCTCGCTTCTTCTGCCCTTTGACCACCACGGGGGCCACGATGATGTCATCGCCAATGGCAAACTGGTCGTCAATGGGGAACGTCTGAGGGGCGGGACGAGAGGGGGCAGACGCATGAGCATGGTGAGAGCACGGTAGCAGGGCTGCAGGGGTCGATACCAGGCTGAACTATGAGTGGGGTCTCTCAAGACAGCGAGTTCACCACGATGCTGTATCAAGCCCCACCGAGAGTACTAGCCCTTCCCTAGTTCTCTAGCTCAGTCAATATGCCGTGCCCCTCTGGCGTGAGCTGCACGCACCTCGGCGTCGTCGGGGTCGAGCCACCACATGGGGCGGCACACGGGGGCGAGGGCCTTGGAGCACGCGTCCTCCATGAGGCTGAAGATGGTGCCGGCCAGCTTCTCCCGCAGCTGGTGGGGCCGGGGGGAAGGGGGGAGGGGGGAGGGGAGAGGCAGGGAGGTGCAATGGTTGAGTGATCACGGGCCTTCTTGGGCAAGGGTGGCAAAGTTGATGCTTGCAAATTCCTCATATCTGTTCCTTGGCACACCCAGCCATCGTCACACATTCCCCACCTCCCACGCTCACCTCGAGCACGGCCTTGCAGAGCTTGTCGGCCTCCTTGCTGAGGTCCCAGGGCGCGATGGAGAACTGCATGGCGGGCATCAGCGCGTTCGCCTGCGCCCACCGCACCAGCAGCTCCACGTCCGGCTTGTTGCCAAAGTACGCATTCCCCCCGATCATATCGGGCAAACAGAACGGGTACCCCAAAATCCCCGACGTCAGCAGTGTCGGAATCACACTCCGAAGCCCGTTCCCCGTGCTCCAGGTGGAAAACCGGTCGCCCATCCTGGTCAGCAGCGGCACACTGCTCGTCTTGTGGCCGGTGCGGACCTCGGCATAGCTGAACTGCGAGGCCACCTCCTGGACGTACAGCCGCGTGTACTCCACGGGGGTCACGATGGGCTTGTGCGACACGAAGTGCGGCGGCAGGAAGCACGGCTCGCCCGCGTCGAACTTGAACCCGTCGATCAGGTAGTCGGCTCGTAGGCGCTTCAGGCGCCCCACAAACCAGGCCACGGCCTCGGGGTTGGTCACGTCAAGGGCGGCTGCTGGCACGGGCTGCCACCACTTGAAGAAACCCGGCTTCAGGCCCTTGGTGGCCGGGGCGCTGGATGATAGGAAGTAGCCTCTGGGGAGGGGAAGGGGGGGGAGGGATGGGTGGAGAGAAGCATTACAAGAGAGGTTGGGACAACGGCTATGTTTTACGGTGCCCTTGGGAAGAGTAGTTTGGAGTCAACTCGGAAAAGAAGCCCATTGCATGAGGTGCCAGGAAGAGGGTACGTTGGATATGCGTGAGGGTAGGTCTTTCTTGAGCAACTCACTTGGGCGCGCCTTCCTGGTACGCGGCAGAAGCTTCCTCCACGAAGGGCATGATCCAGAGCGTGACCTTGAAGCCCAGCGCGTGCAGCATCTCCACCATCTCCTGCTCGTCGCGGACACGAGGGACGCATGCAGCAGGATGGGAGAGGTGAGAAGGTGGCGAGAGCACAGGGTTATCAGGAACAACATCACGCTCCATGACCCTGCATAGCACCTGTAATGGGACGGGACACAACGCAGAGGCGCAGACAAACAAGCAGCGCTCCTTCACTCCGTACCTTGGGGTTGGGGAACTTGACAGGGTCGAAGTCAAAGTCGCCGTACTTGGTCTGCCACTTGTCGTCTATCTCCATCACGGACCGGCTGAGCCCCCTGCCCACGATCTCATGGGCGAACTGCTCCACCTTGGCCTGCGTCACGTTGGCGTGGTACCGCGCCCACGTCGTCCAGATGGGCGCGTCCACCATCTCGCGCGGCGGGGGGTTGCTGGGGCGCGGAAGGGTCTGCAGGGCGGCTTCGGCTGCCTGCTTGACGTTGGCCGTGGCGCATAGGGCGAACTGCAAGGAGAGGCGCTGGTCTGGAGGGGGTGAGGGGGCAAGGGGGTGAGGGGCAAGGGGGTGAGGGGCAAGGGGGTGAGGGGCAAGGGGGTGAGGGGCAAGGGGGTGAGGGGCAAGGGGGTGAGGGGCAAGGGGGTGAGGGGCAAGGGGGTGAGGGGCAAGGGGGTGAGGGGCAAGGGGGTGAGGGGCAAGGGGGTGAGGGGCAAGGGGGTGAGGGGCAAGGGGGTGAGGGGCAAGGGGGTGAGGGGCAAGGGGGTGAGGGGGCAAGAGGGTGAGGGAGGGGACGAAGCAATGCAGGGGCAGTGAGTAACTGCATGCCTGCTGTTTACTGTATGGTGTTTCTGGGCAAGTTTCTTTCTCCGTTGCCATGTAACTGATGCAACCCAGTTGCCGCATGAACGCATGGCACACATTAGATCGCCGCCACCCAGCCGTCCATGCATGCACACACACCACACACCACGCACCACGCACCATGCACCACGCACCACACCACACACCACACACCACGCACCACGCACCACGCACCACGCACCACGCACCACGCACCACACCACACACCACACACCACACACCACGCACCACGCACCACGCACCACACCACACACCACACACCACGCACCACGCACCACGCACCACGCACCACACCACACACCACACACCACACACCACGCACCACGCACCACGCACCACGCACCACGCACCACGCACCACGCACCACGCACCACCTCCTTGTCTTCTCTCACCTTTGTCCTGCTCCTCCTTCCACAGCGCGGGCATCCAGTCCCTCAGCGGGTGGAGCATCTCCACAGTCCTATAGCTCGCCCGCGCCTGCAGCCGCAGCATGCCATCGCCCGTCCCGTTCTCCACCGCCGGCAGCGACTCCCGCGCCAAGTTCTGCACGCCCGTGCCCCACGAGCGCTGGATCCACCCGTCGTGCGGGCCCACCTGGGGCGCGTTGAGCCCCACGTGCAGGAAGGGCGTGTCGGGGTTGGCGAGCACCAGCAGCCCGCGGGACGTCATCCACTGCGCGGCGAGCAGCGTGTTGTTGCCGTTGGGGCCGTTGTCGAACGGGAAGAAGGGGCCCAGCTCGAACTGCCCGCGGTTGAGCGGCCAGTGCTGCCGCATGTAGTGGCCGCCGCCGAACCAGTAGCCCGCCGTGCGCATGTCCAGCTCCACCTCCGCCATGCCGCGCGCCTCCTCTGCTGTGTGCTGCGACACGCTGAACTCCAACACGAAACCGCATGCTAGTTTCTGTTGAAGGATGCATGCACACGAGGGGAAGGAGGAAGGGGATGGAGAAGGGGGATGGAGTAAGTGGATGGAGAAGGGATGGGTATGGGGATGCCCACTGCAGAAGAGAAACCCTCTCACCCATCCTTAGCCTGTGTCACCATGAGCAACGCACCTTGGTCCAGGAGGGGTGGGAGGCTCACCTTGACCCACGAGGGGTGGGAGGCTCACCTTGACCCAGGAGGGGTGGGAGGCTCACCTTGGCCCAGGAGGGGTCGGAGGCTCACCTTGGCCCAGGAGGGGTCGGAGGCGGGGTTGCCGTGGTCGCGGTCGAACGGCAGCACGCCAACGTCGCCCTTCTCCACGCCCGCAGGGCTCGCCGCCACCACGCGCAGCGCCGAGCCGTTGATCCAGCTCAGCTGGACGGCGCCGATCGACTCGTCCAGCACGGCTATATCGCAGGACTCGATATGGTCACGGCAGTTGTCAGGCAGGGAGACTCTCCCCGCGGTGATGAGCACGGGCACGCCGTCCTTCACTCTCCGCAGCTCCATCATCCCGTCCGCGTGCAGCCGCAGGTGCTCCGCTCCGTTAAAGATGTCCACGCGCCCGGGATGCACCTTAACGCGTACGCGGTCCTCTAGGCCGGACAGGCTGCCGCTGCTGCTCACGCGGCTGAGCCCACCGTCGCTGCTGTCGCTGCTGCTGCTGCTGATGCTCAATGCGTCGTAGAGCGACTCCTCGTCATCGTCCTCTGTTAAGTAAGGTTCGTTACCGTCAAGACCGTCGAGGGCGGGGAAAAGCAGGGAGGGGGAGGAGAGGTTGAGGTCAGCGTCGGGGGTAAGCAGACCACCCAGAGACTTCGCGATGCCCCAAAGCCCGCCGTTGATATCGCTGCTGCCGTGGGGCGTATCGGTTACTGTCACGGCTTTCAAAGGCTTACCGGTTCGCACAC